CCGGCCGGCGGGCCCCCCTCCCCCCGCCCGGCGCGGGCCTCTGCCGCGGGGATGGCCGCCGAGGTGCGGCGGCGCGCGGAGCCGGAGCGAGGAGCGAGGAGCGAGGATCAAGGACGGAGGATCGGGGAGCGAGGAGCGAGGATCGAGGATGGAGGATCGGGGATCGGGGATCGGGGATCGAGGATCGAGGAACGAGGATCGAGGATCGAGGATCGGGGATCGGGGATCGAGGATCGGGGAGAGGATGAAGGATGGAGGATCGGGGATCGAGGATCCTGGCGGGAACGGGCTCCCGGAGGGTGTAGAGTTCGTCGTCGGGCTCCCAGAGCTCTTCCGGGCCCTTCCCGGGGGTGTCAAGAAGGGCCCAGGATGGAGCGCCAGGTCTGGGGCAAGGCCCCTGTGTCCAGGTCTTGCTTTCTTCAGGACTCTTTTTTTATGTCATGTCCGATTGAGGGTCTTTTGAAATACACATATGTATACATCTATCTATTTATGTGTATACGTATGCATCCATGCATGCCTGTCTGTCTGTCTGTCCGTCCGTCTGTCTGTCTGTCTGTCTGTCTGTCTGTCTGTGTAGGTGTATGTATTTATGCATGCATGTATGTTTGCACAGATGCATGTTTGCATATATGCCTGCCTGTCTGTCTGTCCGTTTGTCTGTCTGTCTGTGTGTATGTACGTATGTATGTATGTACATAGGGTTGTATGTATGTGTGTAGGTATATAGGAAGGTCGGTAGGTAAGTAGACATGCGTGTATGTATATCTGTATGAATGCTTGTATGTACGCATGTATGTATGTTTGTATGCATGTATGCATGTCTGTACGTATGTATGTCTGTATGCATATATGCATGGATGCATGTACGTACGTACGTACGTATGTATGTATATATGTACGTACGTACGTACGTATGTATATATGCATGTATGTATGTATGTATGCATGTGTGTCTGTCTGCCTGTCTGTCTGTCTGTCCGTCTGTCTGTCTGTCTGCCTGCCTGTCTGTCTGTCTGTCTGTATGTATGTATGTATGTATGTGTGTGTATGCATGTATGCACACACATATATGTATATATATATATATATCTATAGGTATTGATGCATGCATGCATGCATGCATGCATGTACGTATGTATGTATACATGTATGTGTATGTATGTGTGTATGTACGTATGCATGTATGTATGTATGCATGCATGTATGCATGGATGTCAGTCTGTCAGTCTGGCTGTCTGTCTGTCTGTCTGTCTGTCTGCCTGCCTGCCTGCGTGCGTGCGTGCGTGCATGCATGCATGCATGCATGCGTGCATGTGTGTGTGTGTGTATGTGTATGTATGTAGGCATGCATGCATGCATGCATGCATGCATGCATTTAGGCATGCATGCAATCGCGTATGTATGTGGATAGCGAAATGCCTAGATGTATGCATTTTTATACATGCATACACTTGCACACATGCATGTCGGCATGCTTTTACATATATTCAGTTATACATCTACACTTATTTTTGTGTATTCATATGTATACACATATTCGGGTACATGTGTGCAGGTGTGTATATATATACACATATTGTAGTGGCCTCCGGCCAGTGCCGCCGATCCGGGGCGCTCCGGATGATGATGATGATGATGATGATGATGATAAGGATGAGGATGATGATGATGATGATGATGATGGTGATGATGATGGTGATGATGATGATGCTGATGCTGATGATGATGCTGATGATGATGATGCTGATGATGATGATGATGACGATGATGATGATGATGATGATGATGATGATGATGATGATGATGATGATGATGATGATGATGATGATGATGTGATGTGATGGTGATGGTGATGGTGAGATGGAGATGGTGATGATCCCGGCCCCCCCTCCCCCCCCCTCCTCTCTCCTGTCCCTCCCCGCTCCTCTGTCCCCCCCCCTTTCTCCTTTCCCCCCCCTCCCCCCTCTCTCCTGTGGGTCCCCCCTCTCTCCTGTCCCCCCCCCCCTCTCTCCTGTCCCCCCCCCCCTCTCTCCTGTCCCCCCCCCCCTCTCTCCTGTCCCCCCAACCCCCCCTCTCTCCTTTTCCCCCCCCCCCTCTCCTGTCCCCCCCCCTCTCTCCTGTCCACCCCCTCCCCTCTCCCCCCCTCCCCTCTCTCCTGTCCCTGCCCCCCCCTTCCTCTCTCCTGTTCCCCCCCCCCTATCTCTCCTGTCCCCTCCCCTCTCCTTTCCCCCTCCCTCCCCCCCCTCTCGCCTGTCCAGGGCGCAGTGCAGGGGGGGGGCGAGCTGGGGGAAAGAGAAGGTGCAGCAGGGGGGGGGGTGCAGGAGGGGGGGGGCGGAGAGGAGATTGCAGGGGAAGGGGGGGGTGCAGCAAGAGAGGGGGGGGGGCGCCGGGCGCCGGAGAGGAAGGTGCAGGGGGGGGGCGGTTCCGGCATTGGGGAGGCCTTGCGTGTCAATTCTTTCGTCGTTTGCGTCCCCCCCCCTTGCAGAGCGAAGCTTGAGCGAGCTCAAGCCCACGCTTTCAGGAACTCACACGCCGGATCGGCGGATATGTATACATGTGTACATTTATATATATGTACATATGTACATATACACACATATATATATACATATATATATATATAGATATATATAGATCTATGCATATGTTGCAGTGCCTTTGGGACGCTCCTCGTCGCCATGGCTGGATTCGCCCCCGAGTCCTGGCCCGAAACGCACCCCAGGATGGGCCCGGGGGTGAATTCTAGACGCTTCACGTATCCCCACCAGCCCGTCCAGAAATGAGTCCCAGGGGAGTGGAGGTTATGAGGGAAGCGGGGGAGCATGCAGAAGAACAAAGGGCGGGGTGAGCCGCCATATACCCCAAGAGGGGGAGGATGTAGGAGGAGCCGTCGTCGTCGGAGTAGGAGGAGGAAGAGGAGGAGCAGGAGGAGGAGCAGGAGGAGGAGGAGGAGGAGGAATAAAGGAGGAGGAGATGGAGGACTGCGAGGACGAGGAGGACGAGAAGGAGGAAAAGGAGGAGGAGGAGGAGGAGGAGGAGGAGGGGGAGGGGGAGGAGGGAGGAGGAAGAAGGAGGAGGAGGAGGAGGAGGAGGAGGAGGAGGAGGAGGAGGAGGAGGAGGAGGAGGAGGACAATTGCGAGCTTGGGGGCCTCTTGGGCCGTCCTTGGGGCCTCTTGGCGGTCCCGGGGGCCTCTTGCGTATCTCGGGGAGCCTCTTGTGGCCTCTTGGGGGTCTCTTGGGGGCCTCTTGGAGGCCTCTTGGGGGCCTCTTGGGGCCTCTTGGGGCTTTCTTGGGGCGCTCTTGGGGCGCTCTTGGGAGCCTTCGAGGCGCTCTTGGGGCCATCTTGGAGGAGATCTATCAAAGAAGGAGGGGTCCCCAATTAGCGCTGCTCCTCTAGAGTGCCTCGAGTCGCCTCTTGGGCCCCCCCAAGAGGCCAAAATCCTTCCAAAACCTAGGTAAAATCAATGTTTTTTGTTTTCTCGCCTTTTCGCTCTTGGACCCGTCTTGGGAGCCTCTTGGGCCTCTTGGGGTCTCTTGGGAGCCTTTTGGAGGCCTCTTGGGCGCCTCTTGGGGCCTCTTGGGGCGCTCTCGGGGCGCTCTTGGGGCGCTCTTGGGAGCCTTCGAGGCGCTCTTGGGGCCATCTTGGAGGAGATCTATCAAAGAAGGGGGGGTCCCCAATTAGCGCTGCCCCTCTAGAGTGCCTCGAGTCGCCTCTTGGGCGCCCCAAGAGGCCAAAATCCTTCCAAAACCTAGGTAAAATCAATGTTTGTTGCTTTCTCGCCTTTTCGCTCTTGGAGCCGTCTTGGGTCATCTTGGACTCTCTTGGGGCCTCTTGGGGGTCTCTTGGCAACGTCTTGGAGGCTTCTTGGGGGCCTCTTGGGGTCTCTTGGGGCCCTCTTGAGGCGCTCTTGGGGCGCTCTTGGGAGCCTTCGGGGCGCTCTTTGGGCCATCTTGGAGGAGATCTATCAAAGAAGGGGGGGTTGCTTATTAGCCCCGCCCCTCCAGAGTGCCTCGAGTCGCCTCTTGGGCCCCCCCAAGATGCCAAAATCCTTCCCAAACCTAGGTAAAATCAATATTTTGTGTTTTCTCGCCTGTTCGCTCTTGGAGCTGTCTTGGGCCATCTTGGACGCTCTGACACCTCGCGACCGGCCCCGTCCAGGTCAGTGGGGAAGGGGAAGAAGGGGGTTGGCAGAGGAAACTCCCTAGACCACCTACGCCCTAAAGGGCTGGTGGGATTCCTGCCCCCGACCCCAGCCCCCCCTGGTGTCCTTGAAACAGCTCTCTGGGCCCCAGACATGCGACGTCTTGATTTTTTCAGGACGGTGTCCCTGAAAGTCCTGACCCTTTCTCCGGGACCGGTTTTCCGTCCTGAGTCGATTTTTGACGGAACCGAGGCCCGGCGAGGGCCCCCCGAGTCCGAAAATAGCCGAGAACCCTCCGTCCTGCGACACGATCATGTCTGGGGAAGCAGCTCTCCGGGCTGCTTCTGGCCTCCCGGGGGCCCCTTTCGGGCCCGCCGAGGCCGCGCGCAGGCGTGGGGCGGGCTCGGGGCGCACGCTTTGGAAGTTCGCCGCGTGGCTTCCGCAGCGCCTCGGCGCGGCCGTTCGGGCCCGGGGTGTGGGCGCCCCTCCTTTGCCTCCTCCCGGCCTCGTTCTGAGGCTGCGCCCCCTCTTTTCCTCCCCCACCCCTGGTTACTTCAAGCTTCGCGCGGCCCGCTTCGCTTCGACCGGAAGAGGTGCGCTCTCGACCCACGAATCAGAATGAAGGGGCCCAGGGACACACAAATGAATACACACAAGTAAAAAGATTCCCAATATTTTCCCATATTTTCTTGGTTTTTGTCTTCACCCCCAATCCCCATCTCTTCCCATATTTTTTGAGGAATCGACGACTCATTGTGTCTGTGTGTTTTTTCCCTCCTGGAAAAAATCGGGTGTGGGCGCCCCTCCGCGGCGCCTCGCCGAGGGGCCTCTCTTCTGGGCGAGGCCGGCCTCGCCCCGCGCGGCCCCTCGCGGCCCAGGGCCGACGAGCGCGGGGCCGAGGGGCCGGCCGGAGGGGCGCGGGGAGAGTGCCCGTGTCGGGGGCCAGCGCCCACGGGGGTCGGCCTTCCTCCTCCTCCTCCTCCTCCTCCTGCTGCTCCTCCTCCTCCTCCTCCTCCTCCTCCTCCTGCTGCTCGTCCTCCTCCTCCTCCTCCTGCTGCTGCTGCTGCTCCTCCTCCTCCTCCTCCTCCTCCTCCTCCTCCCTCCCTGAGTGGCCACGGCCGCCCGCGGCAGGAGGGAAAGCTCGGAGGGGTCCAGGGACTGGTCTGAGCGGATGTTGGTCGCGGGCGGCGGGTCGGGTTGTTGCCAGAAGTGCTCCTGGCCCACGGTGATCCCAGGATTCTCAAGGAGGTCCCCACGACCTCCAGAGCACGCCTCACGAGGCCCAGAGGCCCCAAGGGGTCCCAAAATTGTGCGACAAGCTGTGGGCACCTTGGGCCAGGGGCACCTTCAGCAACCCCCGACGTGTGTGTGTGTGTGTGTGTGTGTGTGTGTGTGTGTGTGTGGCCTTCTGAGGAGGCAGGGGGAGGTCTTGCCAGGCTGCCCAGATGGGGTCCGAGTCCATGGGATCGGAGGGTCGCACCGCATCGCCGATGCATCGGCGATGCGGCTCGATGTGGAGCCCGATCTTCTCCACGCCGACGGCGCCGATGCCTCGTCGACGTTGCTGATACATCGCTGGTGCATCGGAGATGCGGCGCGATCCGCCGACCCCATCTGCTCGGACCCCACATGAGGGACGCAGGAAAATGGGATCGTCTTCACTGACATTGGCGCGTAAGCTGCCCGCGTAAGGTCGCGCGTAAGCGCCCTCGCTTCTTCGTTGACCTCCACGGCTTCACCACGTCAGCCAAACAGGTGCCGCGCTGGCGGCCCGCCTAAGCCGACTCGCAAGGTCGCTGTGCCATCTTGCGTAAGCCCCGCTGCCTTTCGTCGCGCATGTGGGAGGCCTTTGTTCAAGGCCCTCCAGGCCTCCATCGGAGGTTGATAGACCTACCCTGACACGTCGATTAAGGAATTGGCCGTTTTCGGTTCGCGAGAGGGCGCCGCGGCCGTCATTTTTGCTGGTCCAGGTCCGTCGGTTTCGGCCCCAGGTCGTTTTCACTAAGGGGAGGTTTACTGAAGGGAGGTTTGTCCACCGCCGACTTCAATCTCTGTCAGGAAGCCTCTGTGCCTTCTCAGAGTAAGGCCGCTCCCCTCGCGCCTGCCCCTCGCGCGCGCCCTCCAGAGAGGTGTGGGAGGTCGTCGGCGGCTTCGACAAGGGCGGCCCCCGCGGCACGATCGATCCTGTCACCTGGGCGTCGTGAGTAGCAGAACCGCGAGGGGCGCACACGTCTCGCCCCGTCCCTCGGGCCCCGGGGGGCCCATGCCGCATCGATCCGGCCCGAGCAGAGCCGCGCACAGAGGTCGGGCCCGGGCCCCCAGACGTGCGACGTCCTGACTTTTTCGGGACGGCGCCCCTGGCAGTAACCTTCCGACCCTTTCCCCGCGGGACCGGTTTTGTCGTCCCGAGTCGTTTGTTGACGGACCCGAGGCCCGGCGAGGAGGGCCGCCCCGTGGGCCGAAAATGCCAAACACCTCCCGTCCTGACTTCTTCACGGCGCGATCACGTCTGGGGAGCGTAGGCCCTGCGTCCCCGCGGCGTCGCCGTGCCTCCGTCCCCGAGCAGTGCCTGCACGCGGGGGTGCCGCCCTGCGCCCGCGAGGGGCCGGCCCGCGCGTCGTCGCCGGAGTCGGCCGTGCGCCCGAGGGGCGGTGCCCCGAGGGGCGGTGCCCCGAGGGGCGGCGTTGCCCGAGGGCCGTGCGCCCGAGGGTCGGTGCCCGAGGGTTGGTGTCGAGTCGGAGGAGGAGGAGGAGGAGGAGGAGGAGGAGGAGGAGGAGGAGGAGGAGGAGGAGGAGGAGGAGGAGGTTGGTGTCGAGTCGGAGGAGGAGGAGGAGGAGGAGGAGGAGGAGGAGGAGGAGGAGGAGGAGGAGGAGGGCGTGTCCCTCTACAGGCGGGATGCCCAGAAGCAGTCAAACAGATGGCCTGGGGACGATTCGTCGTCGACGATCTTCTTTTTTGACTGTTTTTTTGTTGGCCGTGTTTTGATTTTCCTGCCAATGTCCGCCTGTAGGAGGACATGCCCGACCCAAGGACGGTGTCCTGCGGCGCCCAGTTGGCCCCGTGGTGGCAGCCCCGTGGTCGGAGCCCTGCGGGCGCCCTGCGGCCGGGGGGCCGACCGGCGACGAGTGCGGCCGTAGTCGGCCTTCTCGCGCCGGGTGCCGCACGGTCGGCTGCCCGTGGTGCCCTGCCTTTGGTGCCCAGTGGTCGGCGCGCTCTGGTTGGTGCCCCATGGTTGGTGCCCTCTGTGCGGTGCCCTAAAGTTGGTGCCCTGCGGTTGGTCTATGGTTGGTGCCCCACAGCTGGCGCCCTGTGGTGCCCCATGGTTGATGCTTTGAGGCTGGCACCCCAGGACGCCCAGTGGCCAGTGCCCTGAGGCGTGCACCATGAAGCTCTCGCAGCGGGAGTGCCACAACCTGATGTTGGGGTCGACGTGCTGGCATCCTTTCTTTCTCACGGCGTCGGGTGCCTGCGGATTAGGATGATGATGATGATGAGGTGGAGAAGGATCAGGTTGAGGCGGAGGAGGATGAGGATGAGGCTGAGGAGGAAGAGGTCCCTGGAGTTCCCCAGAGGTCTCTGGAGGCCCCACATGTCCCGTGAGGTGCCCCGAGACCCCAGAGGCCTCCAGAGGCCTCAGGAAGTTTTTAAAAGGCGAAAGGTTCCCAAGTTCTTGAAGGAGGAAGAGGAGGACGAGAAGCAGCAGGAGCCCTATTATGATGATGACGATCATGATGATGAGGATGATGATGCTGATGATGAAGCTGATGGTGATGATCATGATGGAGCTGATGATGATGAAGATGATGATGATGCTGATGATGATGGTGATGGTGATGATGAATCTGACGAATATGCTGATGATGGTAATGGTTATGATAATGATGACGAGGATGCTGCTGCTGCTGATGATGATGCTGTCGTTGGTGATAGTGATGCTGATGCTGATGATGAAAACGAAGCTGATGAAGATGACGATGATGACGATGATGATGAGGAGGACGAGGATGATGATGATGCTGATACTATTGATGATACGGCTGCTGAATATGTCGTTACTGATGACGAAGACGATGATGTTGATGATGAGGATGATGATGATGACAATGATGATGCAGATGATTATGCTGCTGCTGATGATGCTGTTGATGATGGCGCTGCGAAGAACGATGATGCTGATGATGCTGATGATGATGGTGTTGAGGACGACGATAATGATGCGGCTGATTATGCTTATGATGATGATGCTGATGATGATGCTGCTGCTGATGATGATGGTGATGCTGTTGATGATGGCGATGCTAATGATGGTGATAATGCTGATGCTGATGATGCTGCTGATGATGACAATGATGATGCTGATGCTGCTGCTGCTGATGATGATGATGAGGACGACGATGATGATGCTGCTGATGATGCTTACCATGATGATAATGATGGTGATGATGATGCTGATGATGATGCTGCTGCTGATGATGATGACGATGATGATGCTGATGACACTGATGATGATCATGATGCTGATGATGATGCTGCTGCTGATGATGTTGCTGATGATGCTGCTGGTGATGATGACGACGATGATGATGCTGATGATGATGATGATGATGATGATGATGATGATATCGAGGATGATGATGATGATGCTGATGACGACGATGGTATTGATGCTGCTGCTGATGACGATGATGACGATGACGATGACGATGACGATGATGATGATGATGATGATGATGATGATGATGATGATGATGATGATGATGATGAGGTTGATGATGATGATGATGATGATGACGATGATGGCGGTACTGATGATTATGCTGCCAATGACAATGCTGATGCTGATGCTGATGCTGCTCATGATGATGCAACTGCTGCTGATGATGAGGATGAATAAGAAGATTATTATGATGATGATTATGATGATGATGCTGATGATGCTGATGATGATGATGATGATGATGATGATGCCGCTGCTGATTACCATGTTGATGATGCTGATGATGCTGATGCTGCTGATGATTATTGTTATGATGAGGTTGATGATGATGGTGAGGATGATGCTGATGATGTTGCTGATGATGGTGGTGATGACGATGATGATGATCATGATGATGATGGTGGTGGTGATGATGATGATGCTGATGGTGGTGGTGATGATGATGATGACGATGATGATGAGGAGGAGGAGAAGGAGCAGGAGGGGGATTAGGATCAGGATGAGGATGATGCTGATGCAGGCGCTGATGCTGCTGCTGATGATGCTGCTGGTGCTGCTATTGTTGTTGTTGATGTTGCTGCTGATGATGATGGTGATGCTGTTGATGATGGCGATGCTAATGATGATGATGATGCTCATAATGATGATGATGCTGATGATGATGATGATGATGAGGACGACGATCATGATGCTGCTGATGATGCTTACCGTGATGATGCTGATGATGATGACGATGATGATGATGATGACGATGCTGGTGATGATGATGATACTGATGACGATGACGATTAGGATGATGCTGCTGCTGATGCTGTTGCTGATGATGATGCTGCTGGTGATGATGACGACGATGATGATGGTGCTGATGATGATGACGAGGATGATGATGATGCTGATGCTGATGATGATGATGACGACGGTATGAATGATGCTGCTGATGATGATGACGACGATGACGATGATGATGATGGCGGTACTGATGATTATGCTGCTGATGACCATGCTGGTGATAATGCTGATGCTGATGATGCCGATGATGATGTAACTGCTGCTGATGATGATTAGGATGAAGAAGAGTATGATGCTGATGATGCTGATGATGATGATTCGGCTGCTGATTATTATGATGATGCTCATGATGCTGATGATGCTGATGATGATGCTGATGCTGTTAATGATGATTGATATGATGGTGTTGATGGTGATGGTGATGGTGATGATGATGATGATGATGGTGGTGGTGATGATGATGATGATGATGGTGATGGTGGTGATGATGATGATGATGCTGATGATGATGCTGATGATGACGATGATGATGAGGAGGAGGAGGAGGAGAAGGAGGAGCAGGAGGGGGATGAGGATGATGCTGATGCTGATGCTGATGATGCTGCTGCTGGTGCTACTGTGGTTGTTGTTGTTGATGATGATGATGCTGATGTTGAGCAGATAAGGGGCATCGAGGATCTAGTTTACCTCCCCCTCCCTTCCCCACTTCGATCAGGCTGCGCGTTCGCGCTGTGTAGCCCACGGGGGGGGGCGCGGGTTGCGAGGCGTTCCGCAAGGACGTCTTTAGTGCGCGCGGTGATTGGGTATGCCTTCTGAGGGCTCTCGTCCGTCGGGGGGGAGGAGGAGGAGGCGGAGGAGGAGGAAGCCCAGTGTAAAACCAAGAGTCATCAACGATGTTGGAATTGACCCTCCCTCCAAGCTCCCTCTTCATGGGCCCCCACAGCGGTTCATTTTCATTGAGGGAACTGCCTCGTTGGATGACAACCGTTTGAAGATCCTGAAGCATGCGAATCATTGTTCTCGGGATTTTAACGCCATGTATCAACCTGACTGCTGCGTCTTGACGATCCAGAATCGTGCCAGAGCGCCATCTTTGGGATTTCGACTCCGCGAACCAACAGAACTGTTGCACCCGCATAGAATCCTTCCATTACACCATTTCTGGTACGTTGATCGTGGGAATTCGTGAAACCCCTGCAATTTTTGAAAACGAATGTGCGCGGCGCTAAGGCGAAAGCCACATTTTGAAAAGGAACCGCCCTCAATCCGTGAAACTCTTTTACATTTTTAAAACGAATGTGCGCGGCGCTGAGGCGAGAACCACATTTTGAAGAGGAGCCGCCCTCAATCCGCGAAGCTCTTGCACATTTTCCAAAACGAATGTGCGTGGCGCTAAGGCGAGAGCCACATTTTGAAAACCACCCGCCCTCAATCCGTGGAGCTCTTGCAGATTTTCATACCGGGTCACGGGGTCACCGGGTGACTGGGTCATTGGGTCACGGGATCACCGGGTCCCCATCGTCCGAGTCGCCCGTCGCTAGGCGTCCTCCCGACAAGGCTCGCGAGTCGCGTCCAGCTGTGGGAACGAATTCACCGCCGAGGGCCAACAGGCGGTGAAATCAAGGATAAGCGGCCTGGAGGACCCAGGGAAAACAAGGGGCTCGAGCCTCGTCGCCTGCCGCACGCAGTGGATTTTGTTTGCGTGGCTTCTTTGCCCCATTCCCTTTTTTCGTTCCCGCCCGAGGCGGCATCCTCGTGCGCGAGGGCGGAGACTCCACGTCCAAGCAGTGCGAAGAGCGCCTCGCCTTCGGCGCCCTTGTCAAGAAGGTGGAGCTCCGGGACGTGAAGCTGCACTACCAGCTGCTCCTCGGAGATGGGCCTATCGAGGCGGGCAGCACCGAAGCCTGGCGGAGAGTCGGACCGCTCGGCCGCACGTCGGAGCGAGGCGTGTCCGCTCAGCACGCGCGGGCTGCGCACGCCTGCAGGGCAGCTCTGCCTCGTTGCCTCTGCGTGCCGTGCCTCGTGCTGCTCGCGTCGTCGTGCGGGGGAGGCGCCGTCGAGCGAGGTCGGCGCGGCACGGTGCGAGGCCGAGCAAGACGCCGCGGCACTCCCCAGGGTCCACTTCGTGTCGGGCAGGCGCGGGCTGGCTCGAGGCGACAGTTGGTTGTCGAGTCTCACTGCCCAGACCCTCCCAGCGGCCTCGTAGAGGCATCGTAGAGGCCTCTTGTCAGTAGAGGCCTCTTAGGGGCATCGCAGAGGCCTCTCAGAGGCACCGTGGAGGCCTCTATGAGACCCCAACAAGCGGAGGTGATTTTATGTGGGTTGACAATTAGTGAGCTCCTGGGGGGTGGGTCCGTCGCTAGGCAACGTCCTGGAGATGATCTATGATTTGAGCTCCAGGCCTGCTCGTGGGCGGCGTCGTCGTCGTGGAGGTTCCGTGGCCGTCCTCTCCAAGTTCTTTCCCAACGGCAGAGCCGTCTTTCAAAATCGTTCCCCGCTGCGTTTTTTTTTTTTTTTTTGTTTGTTTTCTTATTTTCAGGCGGCGAGCGAAGGGGGGTAAGTGAGAAGGAGAAGGCCTTCTCAGAGACTTCTCAGAAGGCCCGACGCCTTCCGAGCCTTCTGAGGACGCACCGCCCTCCTCTCACTCCCCCCCCTGGCCTCGCGGCCGAATTCGTCATCTCAGGCCAAGCTCGGCCACGCGGACGCTGCCGCGTCAGTTGCCCGCGTAAGGCTGCGCGTGAACCCCCTCCGCTCTGCGCGGCCTCTTAGCGTGGGCGGCCCGCTTAAGCGGCACGCGTTTAGGTCGCTGTGTCCTCGTGTGTCCTCAGACTCCTATCGTTGAGAAGACTTTCGGCCTCGGGGGGCCCTCGCCGGGCCCTGGGGCCGTCAAACAACAGCTTGGGATCTTGGGATGCAACACCGGCCCCAGGGAAGTGGTCGTGACCTCTGGAGGTACACGTTGTGAAACATCACGACGTCGGGGATCTTGGAAGACCCCTTGCCAGACATCTGGCGCTTCGATGTTGTTGATGCGTGGGCCCCTGCACCTCTCGACCCCTGCCCTGGGGCCGGCTTCTCATGCCGCATCGTTTTGTTGTTGTTGTTGTTGTTGTTGTTGTTGAACATTATTAATTCTAAAGAATAATTATTGTTGGGCCCCCTGGTGCACGCCCCCCCCCCCGCGCCTAGGCCGCAGCCACATTTTCATAATTTTCGTGAGGAAGTCTCAGGTAAAACGATGTCATCCAGATCCGGTTGTTTTGTTGACGCCCGCTTTCCCTGTCAAAAAACACTATAAAATGACATGTCTTGTTCTAACATAACCAAACTTCAAGAATCCTTTGCAAAAAATGACACGAAGTGCACACTCGCGCGCGCAAGATGAAATCCTTCCAAAACCTTAGTTTTCGTAGCGATTTTAACATAAAAACATGAAAAAACCCAATGGTAAAAAAAAAAAAAAGTTTCAAAAAATCATCTTGCGCGCTCTTGCGGATTTCTGAGGAAACCAATATTTTTTCAACATTTCTGTCAAACGGGCTCTTGCGAGCAACTTTTTCACGTGCTTCGAACTTCTGCAACAACGGTTGCGCGCATGCCAGGGCCATCATCCCTGTCAAATAATACCATATTGGACACATTCGTTTTTTCTTCGCGCGCGCACGCCGTCGTCGTCGGCCGCGGGGCCCTGAATAGTAGCCACGGTCGTCCGCATGCCACGAAGTGAAGTGTCCGAACGTCATAGGGCGGGAAGCTGGGTGTGGGTGGTGGCGAAGAGTCGTTTGGAAATTTGGTAGAGCTTGAACCGGCCCCCCCACAAAGTGGGGGTATTGCCCGCCTCCTATGAAAACCCTGGCACTGGTGAGAACGGAGTGTCCCCACGTGCTAGTGATTGTTGTTGTTGTTGTTGTTGTTGTTGTTGTTGTTGTTGTTGTTGATGTTGTTGATCTTGTTGTTGTTGTTGCTGTTGCTGTTGCTGTTGCTGTTGCTGTTGTTGTTATTGTTGTTGTTGTTGCTGTTGCTGTTGCTGTTGCTGTTGTTGTTGTTGTTGTTGTTGCTGCTGCTGCTGTTGGTGAGGTTGTTGTTATCATTATTGTTGTTGTTGTTGTTGATACAGGCGGGGCAAGCCCCCCCGGGGGGGAGGGGGGGAGGGGGGGGGGAACAACACAACACAACACAACGCACCCCTACAGGAGGATCCTGTGGGATCCGTACAGGGTTCCATAGGATTCCCACACGACCCTTACAGGGTTCCATAGGACGCCCATAAAACCCCTACAGAGTTCCATCGGGCTCCCATTCGACCCCCACAGGGTTCCATCGGAGTCCCATAGAACCCCTACAGGGTTCCATCGGACTATTTCGGCGCACCCCTCACGCGGCTCGTGGCCCTACAGGGGGCGCAACCGAAGGCTTCGGGACCATTTCGGCGCACCCCTCACACGGTTCGTGGCCCTACAAGGTGCGCAGCCGAAGGCTTTCGCGGCCCCACATGTGGCGCACCCGAAGGCTTCGGGCCCATTTCGGCGCACCCCTCACACGGTTCGTGGCCCCACAGGGGGCGCAGCCGAAGGTTTCGGGCCCATTTCGGCGCACCCCTCACACGGTTCGTGGCCCCACACAGGGCGCAGCCGAAGGCTTCGGGATTCTTTCGGCGCACCCCTCACACGGTTCGTGGCCCCACAGGGACCGCACCCGAAGGCTTCGGGCCCATTTCGGCGACCCATGATGGTGATGCTGATGTTGATGATGATGACGATGACGACGATGATGATGATGACGGTGACGATGACGATGGCGATGGCGATGTTGATGATGATTATGATCATGTTGGCAATGATGATGTTGACGGACACGACGATGATGAAAATGATGATGAGGATGATGAAAATGATGATGAGGAAGGACGCCCTGGCGGTTTTCTGGGGCTGTTTTCGAAGGGTATTGGAGGTCATCTTGGGTCCTTCCAGAGGCCTTGTTGGACCCGTTTGGGGCTCTTTTGGGGCCGTCTTGGGCCAGGTTGGGGCTCTGTTGCGGCCGTCCTGGGCCGTCCATGGGGCCTGATGGGCCGTGCGGAGGACACCCTTGGAATCCGCTGTCCTTGTTGGGAGTTTCCGACACGTGTCGTCGACATTCGTTTTGGTCTTCAGCAGAAGGAGGAGGAGGAGGAGGAGGAGGAGGGGGAGGAGGGGGAGGAGGAGGAGGAGGAGGATGTACGTGGAAGAGGAGGGACGTGGGATGAGTAGGACAGACCAGGGGGGAGGGGGAGGACGAGGAATGATACCGAATGTGGAAGACTGGGGTGGAGCCGTCGATCATCGCCGCTGACGTGGTCTGTCGCGCGTGCGCCGCCCCCTGGGGCCACGGGGGGTGGGGGCGAGGAGGAGCAGGACGAGGAAGAGGATAACGAAAACAAGGCTGATGATGACGATTATGCTGATGATGAGGAGGGTGAGGATAAGGAAGAAGAGGAGTTACATGATTATGAGGATTTGGACGGACGAGCAGCCGATGAGGATGATGAGGACCATGATGATCCCTACAGGGATCCTGTAGGGTCCCTGTAGGGATCCATCGTGATCCTCCAGGGCCCCTGTAGGGATCTAGAGGGATCCCATAGGGCCCCTCTATTTACAAAAAGCTATCCCATAGGGTCCTTGCAGAGGTCTAGAGGCATCCTATTGGGTCCCTGTAGAGATCCAGAGGGATCCCTATAGGGTCCTTATAGGGATCTACAGCGATCCCATGATGTCCCTGAAAAGGGGCCCACAGGGATCACATAGGGTCCCTGTAGGGATTTAGAGGGACCCCATGGGGACCTTGTAGGGAGCCCCAGGGATCCCATAGGGTCCTTATAGGGATCTACAGCGATCACGCAAGATCCCTGTAGGGATCCAGAGATCCCATAGGGTCCCTGTATGGGCCCACAGGGATCCCACATGGTCTCTGTAGGGATCCACACGGATCCCATAGGGTCCCTGTAGGGGTCGACAGGGATCCTATACGGTCCGCGTACGGACCCACAGGGATCCCATAGGGTCCTTGTGGGGATCCACAGGGATCCTATCCATAGGGATGCTCTAGGATCCCTATAGGAATCCATAGGGATCCTCTAGGCCCGTTGTAGGGACCCATAAACATCCTATAGGGGCCCCTGTAGGGATCGATCGGGATCCTCTCGTATCCCTGCAGGGATCCATTGGGATCCTCTAGGATGCAGGGATCCATAAGGACCCTCTCGTAACCCTGTAAGGATCCATAGGGATCCTCTGGGATCCCTGTAGGGGTCCATAGGGATCCTCTAGGATCCCTGTAGGGGTCCACAGGGATCCTTTAGGATGCTTGTAGGGATCCATTGGGATCCTCCGTAGGATCCCTGTAGGGGTCCACAGGGATCCTCCAGGATCCCTGTAGGGATCCACAGGGATCATCTAGGATCCCTGTAGGGATCCATAGGGATCCCCTTGGATCCCTGTAGGGATCCATTGGGATCCTCCAGGATCCCTGTAGGGGTCCACAGGGATCCTCCAGGATCCCAATAGGGATCCATTGGGATCCTCCAGGATCCAGGATCCCTGTAGGGATCCATTGGGATCCTCCAGGATTCTTGAAGGGATCCATACACAGATCCTCTAGGATTCTTGTAGGGATCCATACAGATCCTCTAGGATGCTTGTAGGGATCCACAGGGATCCTCTAGGATGCTTGTAGGGATCCACAGGGATCCTCTAGGATGCTTGTAGGGAGCCACAGGGATCCTCTAGGATGCTTGTAGGGATCCACAGGGATCCTCTAGGATGCTTGTAGGGATCCACAGGGATCCTCTAGGATGCTTGTAGGGATCCACAGGGATCCTCTAGGATGCTTGTAGGGATCCACAGGGATCCTCTAGGATGCTTGTAGGGATCCACAGGGATCCTCTAGGATGCTTGTAGGGATCCACAGGGATCCTCTAGGATGCTTGTAGGGATCCACAGGGATCCTCTAGGATGCTTGTAGGGATGTAGGGATCCACAGGGATCCTCTAGGATGCTTGTAGGGATCCACAGGGATCCTCTAGGATGCTTGTAGGGATCCACAGGGATCTCAGATCCCTGTAGGGTCCTTGTAGGGATAGAGGGTCTAGATAGAGTCTGTAGGGATCCACAGGGATTCTATAGAGTCCCTGGAGGGATCCACAAGGATTCTATAGAGTCCCTGGAGGGATCCACAGGGATTCTATAGAGTCCCTGGAGGGATCCACAGGGAGTCTATAGAGTCCCTGGAGGGATCCACAGGGATTCTATAGAGTCCCTGGAGGGATCCACAGGGATTCTATAGAGTCCCTGGAGGGAGTCTATAGAGTCCCTGGAGGGATCCACAGGGATTCTATAGAGTCCCTGGAGGGATCCACAGGGATTCTATAGAGTCCCTGGAGGGAGTCTATAGAGTCCCTGGAGGGATCCACAGGGATTCTATAGAGTCCCTGGAGGGATCCACAGGGATTCTATAGAGTCCCTGGAGGGATCCACAGGGATTCTATAGAGTCCCTGGAGGGAGTCTATAGAGTCCCTGGAGGGATCCACAGGGATTCTATAAGAGTCCCTGGAGGGATCCACGCGGATTCTATAGAGTCCCTGGATGGATCCACAGGGAGTCTATAGAGTCCCTGGAGGGATCCACAGGGATTCTATAGAGTCCGTGGAGGGAGTCTATAATGTCCCTGGAGGGATCCACATGGATTCTATAGAGTCCCTGGAGGGATCCACAGGGATTCTATAGAGTCCCTGGAGGGATCCAAAGACTCCTAGAGGGTCCCGAACGGATTCCGATGGGAATCCGTAGGGAGCTTGTAGGATTCATACAGAAT